TATGAAACCTTGTGACCGTCCACATATGAAAATTTGTGACCCTCCACATATGAGAACATGTAACCTTCTACATATGACAATTTGTGACCTTCCACATATGAAATCTTGTAACCCTCCACATATGAAAATTAGTGACCCTCCACATATGAAAACATGTGACCTTCCACATACGAAAATTTGAACATCTCAAGAACTTGCAAATGAATAGTTTAAGAGACATAAGATAAAAATTAGTAAAGACAGAGGAAAATGATCCGCAATAAAGTGATAAGAGAAAATGAGATTGTGAAGGATGTTGTCTTTGCAAAAAAAAAAAAAGAAATCGGCCGCCTCGCCCTTTTTCATCGCAGACCAACTGGCGCAGCAGCCAAGCGTCGCGGCGCTGCTGGTGGTTGCAACGACGTCGACGCCGTAGCAGGATGAAACATTAACGTTGCGTTTGCGCCGATGCGCTCTGCCTTGAACTACTTTGAAGAAAGGAAGGATACGCGACGAACCTCCGCAAAACGGTCATGCTGCGACCGGCTTGACCTTTTGTCCTATTGTCACTAGCTCGTGCGTTTCTACCTCTTTTTCTCCAGCCAATTTATAGTTGAACAGAGAGTACTCTGTACAACTAGTTTCGAACTCGCTGATCAGCGAGCTTGCGGAATGAAACATGCTATGAAGTTTCAAGCGTTTGGAAATGGGGATAAATATTATTTGCTGTACTGAATAGATCTGGCATATGTGGGATAGGGGATGTTTATTTGATCACATATGTGGACCTCTTTTCTTTTCATTTTGCCTGTTTCTTATGGTTCATGATATGTGTACATTTATATATGGAGGATCATTGTTTATTATATGTGCAATTATGTAATTTTACAATCTCACATATGTGACTATTGTACAGCATCACATATGCAATTATTGTACAGTATCACATATGTGATTATTGTATAATGTCACACATGTAATTATTAAACAGTGTCATATATGCAATTATTATACAGTATCACATATGTGACTACTGTACAACATCACATATGTAATTATTGTACAGTATCACATATGTAATTATTATACAGTATCACATATGTGATATTTCCTTGTTAACCCTCGACAACCTAGAAGTATTTGAAGCTTACTTCACTGCAAGATTTAAACTATTTTTCATATGAAATTGTATGCTAGATATTTTTATATCAAGTACAGAAGAGAAAATATTAATTTTGTTAATAAACATAAATATAATAAACTTGATTGTATAAAACAACTTCAGTTAGTAAAAGTACCATGGAATCTCTATGACAACATAAATTCCCATAAGAATAAATATTTTTTTAATAACTATTGTCATCTTGAAATAAAAATATGATTCTCCAAAGTAGTTAAATTTTCATGATTATTAATATAATTTTTATAATGAAGTTATTACAAATTTTTATAATGAAGTTATAACAAGTTATTCAATTTTAAAATATCATTTATAAACACGTGTTAAATTTATTCAAAATTCATGTTGTATCACTGAGCAACATTATAAATAATCAAACAATAGAGAATTTATCGTATTTGCAAAACTGTATGGTATCAGCACTGCACGCAATTAACAACGTTGGGAGGCAAAATTGCATGGGAATATACAACCTGTAGTCACAAACATGTAGAATTACGATGTGTACTGATAGGACACGTAGAATTACAACATGTAGATTTAACAACGCGTGGTAATGGAACGGGGCGAAGTTAGGACGCGAGAAAGTAACGATGCGCTGAATTATAACGCGTAGAATTAACAACGCATGGAATTACGCGTGGTATTACAACAATTTGAGTTAACAACGCATAGGATTAGAGTGCGTGGGATTAGAACGTGTGAAATAACAGTGCGTAGAATTAACGACGTGTGAAATTATCGTGGAGGGATTAACAATGCGTGGAGTTAATACGCGTGAAGTTAACGATGCGTGGAATTATGGTGCGTGGAGTTAACAATGTTGGGAGTTATCATATGGGGGAGGAGTGATGGGTGAAGTTATTATGTCAGAGTTATTTTATTTTATAAGACATTATATGAGAAATTAACAATGTGTGAAATTTTCACCTAACCCAACCTAACATAACCATACATGGAGTTAATGCATGGAGATATGTGTGAAATTATGCCGTGAAATTATGAAATATTATGTGTATAGTAATTCGTGAAATTACCAACGTGTGAAGTTACCACACGTGGAGTTAAGAATGTATGAAGATATTATGTGTGAAATTTTGGCGCGTGGAATTAGTAATTCATGGAATTACCACGTGTGAAATTAGTAGAGTGTGAAGTTGTTAAGTGTGGAATTACGATACATGAAATTATAGTGCGTGAAATTAGTAACGCGTGAAATTACTAACGCGTGGAAGTAGCAACGCGTGGAATTAGCTATGCGTGGAAGTAGCAACGCGTGGAATTAGCTATGCGTGGAATTACAATGCGTGGAATTATAAAGCGTGGAATTAGCAATGCGTGGAACTATAACCCGTGGAATTAGCAATGCGTGGAATCACCAACGCGTGGAATTACTAACGCAAGGAATTAGCAACGCGTGGAAGTAGCTATGCGTGGAATTACAAAGCGTGGAATTAGCAACGCGTGGAACTACATCGCATGGAATTAGCAACGAGTGGAATCACCAACGCGTGGAGTCACAACGCGTGAAATTAGCAATGCGCAACATTATAAATAATCAAACAATAGAGAATTTATCGTATTTGCAAAACTGTATGGTATCAGCACTGCACGCAATTAACAACGTTGGGAGGCAAAATTGCATGGGAATATACAACCTGTAGTCACAAACATGTAGAATTACGATGTGTACTGATAGGACACGTAGAATTACAACATGTAGATTTAACAACGCGTGGTAATGGAACGGGGCGAAGTTAGGACGCGAGAAAGTAACGATGCGCTGAATTATAACGCGTAGAATTAACAACGCATGGAATTACGCGTGGTATTACAACAATTTGAGTTAACAACGCATAGGATTAGAGTGCGTGGGATTAGAACGTGTGAAATAACAGTGCGTAGAATTAACGACGTGTGAAATTATCGTGGAGGGATTAACAATGCGTGGAGTTAATACGCGTGAAGTTAACGATGCGTGGAATTATGGTGCGTGGAGTTAACAATGTTGGGAGTTATCATATGGGGGAGGAGTGATGGGTGAAGTTATTATGTCAGAGTTATTTTATTTTATAAGACATTATATGAGAAATTAACAATGTGTGAAATTTTCACCTAACCCAACCTAACATAACCATACATGGAGTTAATGCATGGAGATATGTGTGAAATTATGCCGTGAAATTATGAAATATTATGTGTATAGTAATTCGTGAAATTACCAACGTGTGAAGTTACCACACGTGGAGTTAAGAATGTATGAAGATATTATGTGTGAAATTTTGGCGCGTGGAATTAGTAATTCATGGAATTACCACGTGTGAAATTAGTAGAGTGTGAAGTTGTTAAGTGTGGAATTACGATACATGAAATTATAGTGCGTGAAATTAGTAACGCGTGAAATTACTAACGCGTGGAAGTAGCAACGCGTGGAATTAGCTATGCGTGGAATTACAATGCGTGGAATTATAAAGCGTGGAATTAGCAATGCGTGGAACTATAACCCGTGGAATTAGCAATGCGTGGAATCACCAACGCGTGGAATTACTAACGCAAGGAATTAGCAACGCGTGGAAGTAGCTATGCGTGGAATTACAAAGCGTGGAATTAGCAACGCGTGGAACTACATCGCATGGAATTAGCAACGAGTGGAATCACCAACGCGTGGAGTCACAACGCGTGAAATTAGCAATGCGTGGAATTACAACGCGTGAAATTTGAAACGCGTGGAATTACGATATATGAAATTGCAACGCGTGAAATTAGCAGTACGTGGAATTAGCAATGCGTAAAATTATTAACGCGTGGAATTATCAATGAGTGGAATTACAGTGCGTGAAATTACAGCGCGTGGAATTACCAATACTCAACCACACAACTTATCTCACATACTTTCCTAATAAATCTCGCTACCAAAAAACGAAGAACAAAAATAATTATCCAGCAAACGATCAATAAATACTTTCCTTACCCTCATCGTTAACCTGATCAGCGTAAAGAATCGACAGGACGCGAATAAATAACACTCTGCGAATAATCACGAGACTGGAAGTCCAATTTTTCTTTTCTTCTCGTCCTCTAATTGCAATAGGAGAGATTTAGGTCATCGTTCACCAACGTTAGCTTCTTTTCTTTTCGTCATCCGATTATTTGAAGACCACGCGCACTGTCCAAAGACAAAACAGTTGCCTCTTTGAAGTGCTGGCCTCGAATTGCTTCATCCTGCTCTTTCATCCTACTATATTTGACCCCTTTTCCCTAACTCCTTTGAATTTCACGATCGTACACCCGATATCGTTTCTTTTTTCAATTTTCTAATTTTCCTTTTACTTTAGTTAATCTACTTATTACGGATTTCACTTTGAATCTTAATTTTATTCAATTTTATTTTCTTGCTGTTTATTTCATTTTTGATGTTTTGAATTTTCTATCTGTTTCTAACTTGAAGATGCAAGTTATCAAATATCGAAATATGATCAAATTCTATGAATTGCAGTTTAATTTTCCCCATTCAAAGATCATAGATTATAATTCTCCAGAGATAACCAAAAATGACCAGACGGATTTAAAGTTGTCAAAAGTTTGAATCTCTCAGATTCAAGTTCTTTGAACGATCAGTCCAGCTTCGCCGATCTCCAATCTCGAGGTGCTCAAACTTCCTCTAATCCGGTGCAATGATAAACTTAGCATCGCAAAAATTTTACCGGGATCGTTAACAATTTAGTACCTAATTAAATAACTGTTCAGATAATTAATGATAAACAGTTTGAACTAATAATCCAATAGTTCTCTTACTAATTCAATAATTCCTTAACTAATAGTTCTCTTTCTATTGTTTCAGAGGTGCCTTCTCGGTAGTGCGACGATGCGTTCAGAAGAGTACCGGTCAGGAGTTCGCGGCAAAAATCATAAACACGAAAAAACTCACGGCCAGAGGTAAGTTCACTCATTGTTTCAATAATACACAACATCAGAACAACTTAATAATAAATCTACATACACTACCGTCCATAAGTATCCGGACACTTGGTTTCGTTACATAAAACATAGTTGAACTTTGTACGAAAGGTATTTAGGGTTATCATATCATTTGTAATAATTATTATTATCTTTTCTGAGGTGTCATAACGTAATAGAATTAATTTTTAAGTACATATTATACAATGAAAGTGTGAAAGTAAAATTCATGTCCAGAAGTACAAAGTCCAAATTTGTGAATCTAATGAAACGCTTTCGATTCTAAAAAAAATTTTAATTTCTACTGTGTTTCATTTCTATGGTGCAGAACGTATTCAGAGGGTTCTTCGGTATGTTTCAAGTGTTTGTAAACTGTTGGTAGATGTTTAGGTTCCCTCAATGGAGATAAGAATGGAGGTAACGCTACGCACTCGACAGTTTCGGTTTAGTTCGTCTGTAGCTTCTTTTCCATCGAGATATGAGTTCCAAACGAGAATTATCAATCGAAAAACGTTCCAGTATACTGACTTTTGCAGAAAAAAAATCGATTTTAGTTACTGTTGCAGATACTTGAATAACTTTCATGCAACGCGAATGCATATTTCGCTTGTGTGCCGATATTTATGGACGGTAGTGTATGTGATACATCTTGTTTGGTGTAAAGTCGTTCCACAAAGATGTGGATCTAACTTGAGATCTATGTTCAGAATTTGTCTTTCACAAGAAACACGTCATCTTCAAACATTTCAAATTATATGTTGAATATCATCATATGTTGAGTATCTACATATGAACCTTTCGCACTCCTTTCTATTATCTACCAACTCAAAATAGTATAATCTATAAAATATCTATAATCTGAATGTATAAGATTCAAGAAAAATGTCAAGCCACGACATATGTAGCAGTGTAAACGTATGAGTATTACACGTATGAGTAACATATATGATGTTGCTCTTGGTCATTAATTAGTAGCCACTTCCTTCATCCTCAAATAAGATACGTATTTAGCAAGGGTAGCTAAACTCCCTTAACTGTATAACATTAGCATTTAAAATACTCGATATTAACCGAAACGAGTGCACACCGGTGAACGTTAGTATGAAAATGGACTTGATGCAAAAATTCTTGATGCGAGATCCAGGCAGCGTGTTCGATGGCCCTCCATTAATGCACCACGCAAACGAGGCTACTCGAGACAACTTTCAGACGATATTGTATTTTAATTTCTGTACCACGATGCTCTTTATCGATCGTCCGTATTTTGAGACTTGAAAGAATTTAATACTTTTATTATAGATCACTCTTGACGTAATTAGTGAAGTGCGATTTGATTCATATTTTCGCTAGGTATTCTGAGATTAATTTTTCGCTGCAATTCCATGTTTTAGTAATTCCACGCATTGCTAATTCCACGTGTTGGTAATTCCACGCGTTGCTAATTTCATGCGCTATAATTTCACGCGTCGCTAATTCCACGCGTTGTAACTTCACGTACCGTAATTCCACGCGTTGCTAATTCCACGCGTTGGTAATTCCACGTACAGCTAATTCCACTCGTTGTAATTTCATGTATTGTACTTCTACGCGTTGCTAATTCCACGCATAGCTAATTCCTCGCGCTATAACTTGACGCATAGCTAATTCCACGCGCTATAATTTCATGTATCCGAATTCCGCACTTAACAACTTCATACACTACTAACTCACACATGTGAAATTCTTCACATATATTGTCATACATCTGGTAAGTGCGTCACAAATATTTTCAGAATTGTTGAGAACAATTTTAATTGCAAATAATTTTTTAAATTTAATATTTTTGTAAAGGTGGGTATATATTTGTAACTAAGATGGTAGAAGAGGGAGATGCTCGGAATTAGAGTCTGATGACTGTCTTTATATCGTGGCCCTTTCTTCGGCAAGAATTTCAGTTGGAAGGCATTGTTCGGTCACTTTTTACGATTAGACAGAGAATCATGGAAAGAGGCTGTATGTATTAGCAAAGATTTAGCGTCTAAAAACAACGAGCAACGCCGTTGTCAAACTGCCAACATTCCATCGCGATCAACAGTGTGCCAGTGCCGTAGTTGAATTGGTCCAGAAACTAGTGGAAGTTTTCTGGTGGATACGTTGAGTTAAGAATGTATGAAGATATTATGCGTAAAATTGTCGCGCGTGGAATTAGTAATTCGTGAAATTATAACACGTGGAATTAGCAATGCGTGAATCTACCAACGCGTAGAATTACAACGCGTGGAATTAGCAATGCGTGGAATTACAACGCGTGGAATTAGCAATGCGTGGAAGTACCAACGCGTAGAATTACAACGCGTGGAATTAGCGACGCGTGAAATTACAACGCGTGGAATTAGCAATGCGTGGAACTACCAACGCGTGGAATTAGAGACGCGTGAAGAATTACAACGCGTAGAATTAGCAACGCGTGAAATTACCAACACGTGGAATTACAACGCGTGGAATTACGATATGTGAAGTTACAATCCGTGGAATTACAACGCATGGAATTAGCAATGCAATTATTCCACAATTTCTCCCATAAATCTACTTCACTATAATTCTCTCTTCATCCACAACTCTATTCTGCAACGTAAAGGATCAACACAGATTTCTGAACGCGACGTATATAAATATCATGGTTTCACGAACGGTCGAACATCAACAAGTTGACTTTAGAAGGGAACTCTCGGTTCGAAATCTTCTTATCCCGCTTTCGATCGAGACTCTCGATCGATCTTTAGAATCCGGACGACGAAAGGAATTTTCGAGGGTCGCGTGCAGAATCCGGGGCCAAGAATTCGTTTGCGGACGTGAAAAATCCAGAAAGAGCAAAAAGTCCACGGTTTCTCCAACCGAACCCGTTTGATCTCGTAATCGAATTTTTTCCGCCAACCAAACTCCCAAGAAAAATAGAACTTCCGGGACGAACAAAACTGCTAACACTGTTAGGGAAAGCTACTTCATGCTCCTGAATTTTGATCTTTGTCAGGTTTCTTTTCCACCGAAAATTCAGTTTGGTTTTGCATAAAAAAGTCTGCTTTCAGTTTATATACATTTACGACTCCATTTTTAGTTTCATACTTATTTTTATAGTTTCATGTTTATTTGCATTTACAGTTTTTGGTCTTATTTTTACTTACAGTTTCATTTTTGGTTTTATGTTTTGTGACATTTTATTTATTTAACATTGTATAAGTTAATATATTTTTATTATAACAAAAGTGTTGTTAAGTTGATATCACTGCTATTTTATAGTAGACTCAATTTTATTTATTATATGACTTTGTCAGAGTGGAAATCTTCTCACAAACCTAATTGTTAAGAGATTTTGACGTCCTATTCCCAGAAAACCAATTTTCCTCTGATGAAAAATTCTTATCTCCATCGTTCATTCTATTAAATTTAAGTTTCTTCATTCTTCTTTTCCTGGACAAGAGTTTCATTATTGGTCAAGTCCAGAACAACCAAAATTTTTGATAAAATGTGATACTTATGTATGGACAGAGCAGGACTAGCAAACTCATATGTGGATTAATATGTGACCCAAAAATTTCTGACAAAAAAAATTAAAAAATACTGTGTTGATTTAATGGGTCAAATTCTGATCATACAGCAGTAGAAATATCATCTTAATTTGACAAAAAAAATTTATTAAAAAAGATGAGACTAATGTTTGGACAGAGTAAGACGAGCAAACTCATATGTGGATTAATATGTGACCCAAAAATACTTGACAAAAAAAATTAAAAAATACTGTGTTGATCTAATGGGTCAAATTCTAATCATACAGCAGTAGAAATATCATCTTAATTTGATAAAAAAAATTTATTAAAAAATTGAGACTAATGTTTGGACAGAGTAAGACTAGCAAACTCATATGTGGATTAATATGTGACCCAAAAATACTTGACAAAAAAAATTAAAAAATACTGTGTTGATCTAATGGGTCAAATTCTAATCATACAGCAGTAGAAATATCATCTTAATTTGATAAAAAAAATTTATTAAAAAACTTGATACTAATGTCCATACACACAGGACTACCAAACTCATATGTGGACTAATATGTGACCCAAAAATACTTGACAAAAAAAATTAAAAAATACTGTGTTGATTTAATGGGTCAAATTCTAATCATACAGCAGTAGAAATATCATCTTAATTTGATAAAAAAAATTTATTAAAAAACTTGATACTAATGTCCATTCACACAGGACTACCAAACTTATATGTGGACTAATATGTGACTCAAAAATACTTGACAGAAAATAATGAAAAATACTGTGTTGATTTAATGGGTCAAATTCTAATTATACAGCAGTAGAAATATTACCTTAACAAAAAAAAATTTATTAAAAAATTTGATACTAATGTGCATACAGAATAAGACTAGCACTCATATGTGGAATATGTGATCCAAAAATATCTGACAAAAAAATTAAAAAATACTGTACTTACTTAATGGGTCCAATTGTAATCATACAGCAGTAGAAATATCCTAACTTGACAATAAAATAAAATTTGATAGTGTCAAATAAAGTTTGATAATGTTAGAAGATCTGAAATATAGTATGTAAGTAGAGATATACGTTTGAAAAAAGTAGGATATAAAACAAAAAGCATTTCCTCGGTATAAAAGTGTACGATACGCACGTCATTGGATCAGAGAGGGTTAAAAAGTATCGAGCAACGCGTTAGAAGAAGAAAGTTCGCATCCAGCTGGAGCGTTGGAATTAATTGGAGGGGTGGTGGGCGTGCACCGTGAAACCGCTTCTATCTTTGGCAGCCAGTTCCAGTTTCTCTGCAGAGGCGAAAGGTAACGAGGAGGAAAAAAAAGGTTGCCGTAGGCAGAGAAGATGAGCCCTCTGCTATATCCCTCTTCACTGGCCTCTCCGGTGTCTCTCCCTCGCGGCCAACAGAGGGATGCCACGCTTGCACCCTCTTCCATCCGCTCCGAC